TGTCGTTAGGTCAGAGTTAGGATGCGCATTTCTGTTTCTTTCTACCTGCTGGGGCTAAGTCAGAACGCGCAAGCATTAGCAAACCATTTTACTTTTGTTTTGTTTTGGCACCCCGGTGAGGAAAGTCACAGAGAAACGAGACGAAAAACTTCACAGAGCACAGCAGCAGTGTACAAATTTTCATGTCACTTGCTCCAGTCAAACATGTGAGTAAGAGTGGATGTCTTCGCTTCTTTTGAAAAGAGCAAGTGAACGTTTTCTTTTCAATATGTTTTTAATTTTATTGATCTTTTTTTGTTCAAAATAAGTAGATGTGATATTCTGTCAGTGAAGATTGTGCTATAGCAGTGAGGTTTAAGCACATGTCCAGAGGACACGAAGCTGAATGTATGTAAGTATCCAGAAAAAAAAGAAGTAAACAGCTGACGAACCTAGATTCACCTGTACACACCGTACTATTGAACAAGATCTTGCGACGTGTTTCGCGGTCTGTTGGTGGATCTAGCTCAAGAAAAATCTTAGCAATGCTGTATAGAAAGCATGAAAATATTTTATGATTTACAATTATGCTCTTGAATCAATACAGTAACATATTGAGCTATCGAAAACATAAATGTATGCTCTCGGAGGGCAACATTAATCTATTAGATGCATAAGACTGTTTTTAAAATTTGAAATAACGTATAACTATTGTAAAGTGAGAGATCAAAGGAGGGGGAGAGGTGGAACACTTTGACCTGAGTCACAAAAAAAAGGAACCAAAAAAATCGACTGCTTGATGTTGTTTGATATCTCTTCTTCTCTATTTTAGCCGAAGCCTTACTCTTCTTGTTTTGTTTCGTTCCTCCTCAAGACAGCATGTCAACGAGCAGAATAAATAGAAAGATATTTTCACTTTTCAAAATAAGCACTGCGGAGGACTTGAATTTCTTCTTTATTTGTGCCTATATTGCGTTTCTCTTCATTTATTTTAGAAAAAAGGCACCGGTGGTGGTGGTGAATGGACTCGACCGAGATATAGCGAATTAAGCGATGCTGTACGAGCTCAAAATAAATGAGAAGATCGTTTATTGATCGTTCGTCTCAAGTTCTATGAACGTGAAAAGAATATTCGACTAAGTCTACTACGAGTATTATTGAAACATGCTCAAGCAAAATTAATTGAACGTTGGGAACAACAAAGAGAGAGTTTGTCGAATAGAATCTCTTGGCGTCCGCCTATAACAATGAGTCGAACTCAAGAGTCTGTGAATGAGGAATGGGAAAGTTCCATTGGTGTTACCCATTCAGAAGTGAGATTTCCTTCTGTTCTTGTACAAATTACTATACTAACGACAACAACAACCACGACGACAGTGAGACGTCTCCTTCTCTTACCTGTGATGATCAACGAGGGCAAAAGCCAGTTCTTCCATATAGTTAAGTTTGCTTTCAAATTTATCGGCCAAAATTTCTACCGTTTCTATTCGTGCACTCAGACATTGTTGTCTTTTTTGTTCATCTGTGAGAAAGGAAGCAGGTTTAGCCGTGCCAAGTGACAAATCCAGACGTCGTTGAATGTCACTCAACATAATAGAAAGACGGGTGTTCATTTGATTGTTTTCTTTAACAATATCTTTTATGTCTACAGGTTGCTTTGCCTGTTGAAATTTCTTACATGCCCTGGAACGATCAAAAATCATGTACTTATAGAGCGAATAAGAGAAATTGTCAAATACTTATCAGACAGAATATTTGCAAACATGTTTAGAAGAGTATTTGAGAAGACGAATGATTTTAAGAGACACATTCGAAAAATATACAGTGAACATGTCCACTGGATCTAACATCTATTTTGTGAATGATTGAGATTGCACTAACATATCGTTGTGGAAGATCGTTGACAGACGATACAGATTTTCGACGAATACTAAAGGCACGTGTTCTAGAGAGCGCATTACTGTCCTTTGTATGTTGTTCTATTTGTCTAACTTACACTGCCGATAATACCCGATCTTTCATTCACATATGCACGACGGGGAACAAGAAAGGTGCGAAAAAACGGGCGGACAAGTAAGTCCTTATCGTCTATCCGGATTATATCCAAAATAGAATGAGTCCTCTGGCAAAGTCTAAAAGGCAACGCCGAGAAAGCAAACTGCAGTTGTGATCATCTTTGCTATGTATGTGCTTGGATAGAGATCACTAAAACCAATTGTTGTCATCTATATAGAAAGTGTCGATAATCTAGAGTACTTATGATACAGAGTGAGAGAGAGAAACATCGATAATAGAAAACCACATGGAATCTGCCATTGAACGAAAGTTACCGTCGTATGATTCCATTCGTAAAGGCGTCCCTGCTACGTGGACTAGATAGACAAATTCATTAAGGATTCCCTGCACCTCTGTTATGTTTCTATACAACGTTGAGCTTTTTGGCTCTAACCAGAATCGACGGTATCGATTTTATACGGTACGTGGCTGGTTTGCGCCAGACATAGACGACGCACTGTAGTTCATTAAATATGGCGGCTATAGGCTACGCTGGAGATAAAGATCTTCAAGGCTCGAAGTTTTTTTACCATAAATTACTTTATTTTCAATGAACTAAATGGCATTTTTCGAAATGATCAAGACGAGATGTGTATTTATGGATAAGGTACTACCAGAATAAATTTCAAGCCAAAGAAAAATGTAAACCTCTAAACATCGAACTTTACAATAGGTTCTCTTATTTTCTAACGTCCGAGTAGTGTAAAAGTTCCAAGTCGATCGGATGCACCATCGACGGAGAGAATCAGATAGGGTCAAAAAAGAGGGTGGAAGAGGGTATCCTTAATGGCTACACCTTTTTCTGCTTACTTTCTACTTAGTTCAGTGTTCTCAGCTTTCCCGTTATACCGCCAGCTTAAATCAAAAGATATTAGAGGAAGGGCTTCATTATATTTTTGCTACACCGTAAGTGATATCTTAAAATTAGCTTTTTTCTTGTTTCAGGAGTACCTTAACTGGTATCTTGGTTTGAACCAAGTTGCAACCGGAGTATTCCACTATGGGCTTGGCACTATACCAAACTAAACACAGTGGATTTTAAATACATGTCGTTAACCTAAAAAGGTCTAAAAAGGAGAAAATTAGGTAGCAGGTAAAGTTGACACTTTTCTTGAAGTATTACTAACCGCTCCCCTCCTCTCATTGTTGAACGTTCTAATAGGCACCAGTAATGAGGAACATAAATGAAATAACGAGAGTTACACTCAATTCTTGACGATGTGCTATAGTAATATCTTTTAAAATTCATATTGATGACAATTGCCGATCAACACGTAGAAAACGTATCATTTGCAGTGGTGGCAAAAATTTAAGTGTGAGAGGAGGAAATTGTCTCAGTCTAAAACCTGAAGCGAGAGCAAGAATGAAGCCAAGAAGTGTGAGACAATCGAGCATAAGCATGCGACGAAGTACAAAGATAACACGACCCATAAATGAATTATATTTATTAAGGCAACCAGCTGACCATACTCGGAGCGATAGATCACAGGCGAAAAGACAGCGAGAGCTAATTCACAGTAGTACAGTGGTGTATCGAGAGTCGTTCTCCATTCAACAATAGTCGAGATACTCCCAAGCACGAGCGAAATGAGCGTTAAACAGAATATGAATAAGTGATAGGACAAAGATCGAGGATCTTCTTGTCGTTCCAGTAAATGATAGACATCGCTCGTATGGAACAGAAGGAAAAACCGTGCTGTGAATTTGCCTTTTCGACGACGTCTAGTAGTACCATCGTCGTCGTCAAGCCCAAGATCAAATATAGTTGTATAAACAGAAGCAGTAGAAGGACGAGAACGAACATATTCATGAATGGATGTTACAGCTAGAGAATGAGCACTTCTTCTTTCTTTCTCTGTACTCATATGTGAACAGATGGTACGGGCTAGTCCAACGCCACTCGAAATCGTGCTTTTACGTCTCGAACTCATTTGTCCCTGAACGAACGGATCGCCGTGAATGATACTGTCAAAAGGGAACACTCTATATGCTTTGCTCACAGCCCTCCTTTGCTAGACACGACTTTATCTATACATACATACATACATACTTTCTTGAGAAAGAGAGAGAGAGTACTAACCCTTAAAGCGCTCGAGAATACTAATACCTTGCCGTTGTTATCTGCTTGGAATATTAACTAAACCGCACAGAGTCTTCAAGTACAGTTTTACTTGTCTTCTGACCTTGGAAGATCGACCTCATTCGTAGACGGACGGTTTCGTTTTCTCTCTTCTCTCTTCGACCTATCCAATCATCGATGAGGGTATAGGGAATGGGAATGCAAATGCCAGCATCTCGTCGAAAACACAGGCACTGGAAGAAGAAGAAGAGGAGGAGGAGGAGAGTGAGTCGAGGAATAAATAAAGAACACACACACCAACTGTTCTCTTTCGCTTCTCCCATGCATAAGAATAGCCCGTGTTTTTATTCTATGAGAGAGGCGAGTACACATCTTAGAAAATGTAGCCAAGCTCTTCTCACAGATTTCTGAAACGGTAATAGATCATGTATCGAACCTGACAGGATCTGTACGAAAAACAAAACAAAAAAGTTTTCCGAAAACTCGGGTCAGTGTATTTCCAGGCGTTCTATGCCCATCGTCTGCTAATTGTTTTCTTACCTTGTTATATGTCAAAATGTAGCCACTACCCTAGTCGACCGATCTTACGGTAATTCTATAGAAATCTTATAAGAATCTTATAAGATTCTGATAAGAATTCGGTAAGATAGATTATATAATTATTTTATAAGAATTCATAAGATTTTGGTAAGAGTTCATAAGATACTGATAAGAATCTTATAGGAAGGATATAGTACAATTTCCTCACATTCTTTAGTGATCAGTACTCTATATTCTACTTTCTTACTATAATCTACTGTTTCATACGTGAATAAAATAATTTTCTTTCCACTTATTTAATTTTTCTACAATAAGACCTTAGTCCCAC